TTGCCGTGTTTTGACTGAACTGTGTTCGTTGTGGATTGCGGTTGTCTTGTAGGGATGGCAAGTGAAAGGAGGTTGTTGGAGGTGGAGTTAAGTATTTGAAGGGAATTGAAGATGGGATTATTGAGATAAATATTATTGTCATTCAAGCAAACATTTTGTTTGAATGCTTGTTGTATATGATATTTTTCTATTGTGTCTCTGTGTTTCTTATTGTATACTATTTTTAAGATGTCCATTGTATCTGTTATCGTGCTATATGCATGTCCAGTGTTTAGAATGTGTCTGGCATATGCTGAATTATCCTTATTATGTTTTATTGCTGCAATGTGTTCTTGATACCTATTTATGAATGTACGTCCAGTTTGACCAATATAAGTTAATGGACATTCTTTACATTTTAATCTGTATATTCCTGGTAAATTGTATTTGTTATTTATGTCTATTGGTGGTTTTTGTTTACTTGCATGTTTAATGAGGGATTGATTTCAACTAAAACATGCATCTTATTGGGTTGGGATGATGATGATCTACAAATATCAGACCAACAGCTGACTGGCTGTTACACGCCATGCTCATGCAAACAGTCTCTAGACATACTCACCGCGTCATTTCTATCTAGCGCGTGATAGGCAACCCGATAGCCGTGCAGGCCGGAATGGTTGCGGCTTTGCCAGGAGACGATGACACTGAAGGGCTGGATGTCCTGAATGGCGAGCTTGAGGATCAGAGGAGTGGAGCAGAAGCGAGGTGGCTCCAGGTCAAGAAACGGCAAGCCGCGCAGCTCAGGAGGGTGTTCGCAGCGGAGACCGCGCGTGGTGACGCCTACCAGCTTCTGATGATCGCGCAACCACTCCCAGAGCTCCTGCGAGTCGCAGCCGCAATGCAGCGGATTCTCCTCCGTGCGCAGGCTGCGGATCTGGGTCTCCAGTGGACGGAACGCACTCAACGGCAGCTTCTCCAGGTAGTTCCTGCTCAAATCGAGCACACGCAACTTCTTCAGAGGCCTGAACGCGTCACTGGCCACCGTCGAGATCCAGTTCCCATACAGGTGAAGCTCGGCAAGGTTCTCCAGGTGGCGAAACGTCCACTTGCCCACTCGGGTAACTTGGTTGAAAGACAAGTCCAAAATTTGGAGTGACTTAAGATCTTGTGGATATTCCTCTAACTCCTTGAGACGATTATGAGTGAGATTGAGGAGCCTCAGGCGACTAAGACCCTGAAGCCTCTCCTGAGGCAAAAGCTCCAGCTCATTAACTCCCAGGTCCAGAGTTAACAAGTTGGGCAAACTCCTGAAAGCGCCTGGAGACACGCGCGAGATCCGGTTTACGTCCAGGAAGAGGTGCAAGAGCGCCGGGAAGGCCTCGAAGTCCTTGCTGGTCACGATGGTGAGGTTTGTGCCACTGATGTGGATCTCTTGCATGCTGGGATACAGCCGGACGGATGACAGATCGTGGATGCGCGACAGAGGGTTTCCAGTAAGATTCAGCCATCCCAGTCCGGGCAGATTCAGGGCCGCTGTGGGAATCTGCCGGAACTTGTTTCGGGCGAGGTCAAGGCGCCGAAGCGAAGTAGAGAGGTGGAAGAAGTTGGCGGGAAGTGCGGCCAGCGAATTTCTGCTGAGGTCTACACTCGACAGCTGCGACAGGTTCGCAGACGCAAATCCCGACAGCGAAGAAATGGTGTTGCGGCTGAGGTCAAGCTCTCGCAGGCGGATCAGGCCACTCAGTCGTGAGACATCGACGCCAGTGAGTAGGTTGCCTGACATGGTAAACACCTCTAGAGAAGTCAGATTTCCCAGGGAAGAATAGGGCACTTCAAGGAACGAGTTTCGAGCCAGACGCAACTCCCGAAGGCCCTTGAGAGAGGCGAACACATCACGGCCTAGTTGCTTCAGGCGGTTGTCGCACAGTTCGAGGTGCGCCAGGTCCTTGTTGGCGTTGAGCAGTGCGCGCGGCAGCTTGCTGATGTGCGCGTTGTTCAGGGTCAGGAATTGCAGGGACGGCAGGCCCTCCAGCGCGTTGCTTTGCACCGCACTCAGGTTGTTGCCCGATATATGCAGCACCCGCAAGCCGGGGATATCCAATTGCCGCAGTGACCCAGCCGTAAGTCGGTTGTGCTCAAGGTTCAGTTCATTAAGATTGTTCAGACCCCTGAACGCGCCACTATCGACGCGGGACACTGAACAGTTGCGCAGGTTCAGAAGTCTGATGGGAAGTCCTTCCTGGCAGCATGTGACGTAACAGTGACGTTTTATTAATGGAAGATTTGGGGGGGGGGGAAACGCTTCCAAACTCAAGAGAAAACAGCAAAAAGTGTGTCAGTGCTAGACAATTAATACACAATACAAACAATGTCTTCTGATGATATTATGACGCCGTGTAGATACTAACGTTTTAAGGAAACATACATCCACCATTTTCAGGGTCAGTCCCTTAAATGACCTTGGAGATGGTCGTTGCTCCAAAATGTTGGTATATAATTGTCACAACCCCCAAAAACATCGCCATTTACAACGCCTTGAGAACTTAAACATCTCACAACAGCATTTAATATTAAAATGTGGTTGCATGATGCCTTGCAATAATTCTTCAATTGGAAACCGTTCAGCATCCATAGATTAAAGGAAGGAACGTAAAACGAAAGGCGGAAAGACACTCCTGAGTCAGAAAATTTGTGGATTACATTTTTGTTCAAAGAAGTGGGGTGTATCATACCTGGAAAATGGAGTCATGCAGTATCGCAAGGCTGTTGTCGCTGAGGTCCAGGGTTCTTAACTTCTTGAGGGACGTGAGGGCGCGTGGCTCGATGGTCTGCAACCCATTGCCCGCGAGGTACAGTTCTTCCAACTCGTGCAGATCCGCAAACGTGTGGCCAGACACGCGGCTCAGTCTGCCAATTGTAAGGAGCAACTGGATAGCAAGCTTTTCGACATTTTCAATTAAAAAAATAATTATTCTCTGGATGCACGACATTTGCCATTACTGTACAAGAAATTAACAGTCTTTAGATTGCTCGTTACTGGTGAGGTCTATCAGCTGGTATTTTGCAGAAGAAATCGGCGAACGCACAAACTCGTTTGTAAAAAGGCAAACGGTTTAAATATTTAAAAAAAACGATATTGTTACAACAGACAGGCAGAGAAGTAACACAGGTTTACAAATTTCGCATTATAAGCATTATCAATTATGAGTAAGGGGTGAATATTCGAAATTGATAATTCATGAACTTGCTGGAAATCCGCTGAAAAACTTCTAGAATTTCTATATGGAGACATGCAAGCCGTGTCGAATGTAACAGGCGCATATTTTCAAAATTGTAAATGAAAATGCGCCAAATGGTGCTCTAGATGATGACATGCTGCCCTAACTTTACATTTCATTTTCTTTATGTAAATATCAACAGCGTTGAATGAAAATGTTTACGTAAATATTCAGACAAACATCGATTTCATGCGGCAATAAAATCAATCTAAAATTCAAAATATATCTTCACGGTTTGTCTCAAGTAGATGGGATGGGTTTCTTTAAGGTCTGCATTGATTTATCTGAAAGACGCTTAACACGAAGAGGCCCAGGTAACATAATATCCATAAACGCTTCAGATTTTAATCAGAATTGCTCTAGTATCTTATACATTGAGAAAATGTTTTAAGGAATTTAACCCACACGTTGCGTTAAATGGAAAATATTTATCGAACAGCTTTTTCGATGTCGCCGATCATCACGTTATTATAACGTGACGCAGGAAGAACTACATAATTGCCCTTTCCCCACACAAACACTCTGAAAGCTGTCGGGTATGAAAAGACAACTAACTAAAACAAAGACGAGGCTGTAAAGGGAAAGATTCTTTCTGCTTTAAATTCGTATTTTAAGTTCTAATACAGAATGAATTCCTCATTCTACGTAATTGTGAAGTGGAATTTTTTTATTAAGCTGAATATTTAATATATATAAGACAATATGACTGAAAAATAATATGTAGTCCGGTAAACATAAACAAGGAACGTCGAATTACTGAAATATGGCGAAGGAAGACAGCAAAAGCAGAATTTTAAGCTTTATTAATGTATTCTGGCGAAGTGATAAAATTCCCTAAACTTGATATCAAGAAAGAAAGAAAGAAAGAAAGAAAATACGAAATCAGTGGTGTAATTATCGAGGAATTAGTTTACTGAATGCTGGATACGAAGTATACACCAATGTAATAAATGCACGTCTTCATACAATTACGGAAGCTCTCTCATTACAAGACCAATCTGGTTTTAAAAAGGGGTGATCTTGCACAGACAACGCTTTCACCCTGCATCAAATTATTGAAAAAGAACAGAATTTAATATGGAAACGCATATTGGTTTTATTGATCTGGAAAAAAGCATCTGATAGGTTGAACAGAGGCAAACCCTGGGACATCGCGCATAAAAGAGGCTACCCTACACATTTAATAAACGTTTTTGAAAATATAACGAAACTAAATTAAAAGCAAAACTTGGAGATGGATGAAAGACTTTCGCAAGAAATCGTTATTACAGAAGGAGTGAGACGGACGGGCGTGCAGCGAAATCTACTCGGGTATTAAATCAACTAATAATGCTACAGTTAATACGTTACTCTTTGCTGACGATATTGCACGAAAACGAAGATAACTTGCAAAAAAGCTTGTGTGAATTACACAAATTCAGCAATATTTATAATTTTAAAATGTCTGCTATATAAACGAAAGTTATGGCTTCTCGAGGAAAACAAAAGAGTTCGATCAAAAAACGTTTGATGTCTGCTATATAAACGAAAGTTATGGCTTTTCGAGGAAAAGAAAACAGTTCGATCAAAAAACGTTTGATAACAAATCACGTTAAATAAAACTACGAAGAAGATTTAAATAAGAAAATAAGTATACATTTCAAAGCATATGTGGGGAAATCTCAAGGAACTTAAAAAGATAAACTAGGAAAGTGAAAAATGTAAAGTTTTATAAGGTTATGGCGGTCCGAGTGCTTTTATGTGGTAGCGAAATACGGACACTGAAGAAGGCAGACTGGAACATAATCGGGCAGCAGAAATGAAGTGCATAAGAACCGTCAGTTAAGAAATGAGGACATAGAAAAATTGATGGATATTTTCTCTTTATTCGAGAAAACTTACGGAATGTGGAGGTAAACTGAAAATAAATTTGTAAAATATGGAACAGTCTTGCAATCCACTACATCTGGCAGACGAGACATAGGAAGACCAAGAACAAGGTGGATCGAAACGTAACAAATTACAGGCCGGAACAGGCGATTCGAATAATCCACGAGAGGATAATGATGATGATATTGATATAGTCTGTACAAGTCTGACGTACAAAGATTTGCGTTTTGTCTCCACTAGCATTCAATCGACTTCAGCGACAGACCTTCACTACAGACCAGGGATGGAAAACTACGGCCCGTGCAGCGAGCGACGTTGACGTTGCTAGGACAGCAAATGAGCAAAAATGAATGCACACCCCTCGTGTCACAGACCGACTGCTCATTCAATGAACCTTTCGAAACTGAGCGTCGAATAAATCGGTGACATGCGAAATATGATTCGAAAAGAACATGAAAGGAAGCGGTCGTAGCTTACTTTAAGCAGGGATAGTGATTCGAGTGACTGAGGAAAATCAGTTATAGTCAATCACAATATCCGATCTCTGCGCCAAGTTTCTAAATCGGGCCTCTGCAATAAACAGACGCTAAGAACAACGGCGCCACGGTGGTCTAGCGGTTAGAACGCTGGCCTTGTAATCCTGGGGTCTCGGGTTCGATTCCCGGCGGTGCCCGAATTTATAACTTGTGTTGGGCAAGGCCGTGGTCTAGGCAACACGGAGTTTTCCTCCGTGGCATCCCAACAATTACTCCATTCACACACAAAAGAAGGCAATGGCAAACCACTTCTGGATCATCTGCCAAGAACGTATATGAACAGGTCCCAGTCCGAGAAAAGGATGGAAGGATCCTGTTCATATGGACCTGTCGTCAGACAGAACACTAAATAAATAATAAAAATAAAAAAACAACGGCGAATGAAAGGCATTTATAAAACAAATTTCAAACTGCAGCGAAGATGTCTATTTTGAATGCAACTGTTCACTGTGTTCTTATGCGACTCGAGACTGGTATTCCTATGAAAGCCTTCTACATAAAAATAAACATTCACACGAGGTACTGGTTTGTACAACGTTATAAAAAATATAAAAAATAACAATAATAATAATAACATGAAGCAAAAACGCATTACGATAATTTTCATAAACTGAACCATATCGCCCCTTTAGAAAAGTCAAAAGGGGGAGGTTCTAATTCTAGTGCCATTATTCCCTCGGCGATCCCATCTTATGTAAATCGGGTGTAAATAAACAATAGTATTCTTAAAGAAATATAAATGCAAAACCTATTTCTTTCAAAAGAATCGAACGTAAATATATATTTATAGAGTTTACATGCGAGACATTAAGTTTAAAATCACAATGACAAGAACGCAACAATATTTGCCTCAAGCGATATCTCAACTTCTTAAAATAAATAAAAAAAGACTGTTTCTCCCTCTCCCCCTCTCTCTCTCTAAAAAATGAACCTTCACTCGTCTTCAGTCCGTCCCCGAGAGACGGGGCGGCTACCCTCCCCTCGTACTCAGCCAAACAGTCAAACAAACAAACAAACAAACAAACACACACAAAACAACAACGTGACAGCTACCTCCAAATCTCTGGAAAACAGCAGTTCAGAAACAGGAAATACCTTGTCCAACCGGAAGTCCGAGAGACAGTGAATCTTGTGCTAGCGAGAATGAGGCAAGAGATTCCAACAACCCCTCCAATCCTATCCCCCACATCCCTTGGCGGCGTAGCAAAAAGAATGCCATCGATCTGGCACTCCAAGTTCATTCGGCCCTCAACCCTTCCTGAGGTCGCCCCCCGTTAACCTCACAGGGTACAAGAGCCGAAGGATTAAGGACATCATCACAGACAGACACGAAGAATCGAATTACTGAACGAACTGCCTTGTCTCACGCGGTTGGTCGTCGGCTTCTCACCGAGGAGGAACCGATTCGTTACCATGGCAGTCTTTGTGGGATCTGTGGTGCTCAATGAAGCAGGCTTTTCTCAGAGTCCTTCCAGTCTGCCATGTCAATATCATTCCACCGCTGCTCAATATTCAGTCCTGTATCAGCTGGGCGATGGGCAATGGACCCGTTACTGGCCGCAGTTCCACAGAGACACGGTCTGACCACGTCGTAAATAATCAATTATGCAAGAAATCTCGTATTGCGAAGGGCCAGTTAATCGCCTTTATCACAAAATCGCATCAGTACACTCGATACAGACCGATGTCAATGCAGACATAATTTTCACAACGTATTCTTTGATAATGAGCTTAAAATTACTATGATTAAGTGATGACTGGGTTCATATCGCCCAGTGAACACGTCACGCGTTCCATAAATGGCGCTGAAATTCTTAACCACATGAACAAAAATAAGCTTTTCAATTAGGACTCTACCTATTGCAGTTACGTGCTACAGTTAGGGCCCTTTCACATGTGAGCGGCTCACGTGAGCTGAAGCGACTGCTGGGGATAGAAATCCCAGCAAAATGCAATGGACCCTTTCAGACGAGAGCCGCTGAGCATCTATGCAGCTCTCCCCGCTAGTAGCGGCTACTGGCGGGAAGAATTCTGTCTGCTTTAACATTGAACATTTTCACACGAGGCAGATCAAGCCAGTCTAGCCGACGCATTTATACGAGAGGGTCACATTGTGGGGGTGGGGGAAAACTCCAGTAAGTTGTTTGTAATAGGTACTATACCAGGTGATTCAAAAAGGACTTTACAACTTTGAAAGTGTATAGAAATTTAATCAGAAAGCTTACAGAATCGGTTGAGGTGTCATTTTGTAGCAAAACAAATCAAGTTTGACTCACGTTGTTCTGTAGTACCGAATTCCGTCACCGCGAGCGCAAGCGGCAGTGCATTTGAAAATGGCTCGAAAATTATCTCATACCACAGTTAGACGAAGATGACCAAAAAGAACGCATTCACTTCCGGCAAGACGGCGCACCACCTCACTACCTCACAGAAGTCCGGGATTTCCTCAATAACCGTTTCCCAGGTCGGTGGATTGGTCGAACAGGGCCGATAGTATGGCCACCTCGTTCTCCAGATTTGACACCTCCCGATTTTTTCTTATGGGGTTTCATTAAAGATCGTGTGTTTTGTTCCACCCTTACCTGCCAGTCTTACTGAGCTCAAAGATCAAATCACCGCCGCAGTTGCAGAAGTGACACCGGATATGCTGGATCGTGTTTGTCAAGAAATTGATTTCAGGTGGGATGTCTGCAGTATCACCAATGGCAATCACATCGAACCAAAATGACTATTTGAGGTAAAACTTGATTTAGTTTGCTACAAAATGACACCTCAACCGATTCTGTAAGCCTTCTGAATACATTTCTATACACTTTCAAAGTTGTAAAGTCCTTTTTGATCACCCTGTATATTAATAATTTATAATATTTATGCTATAAAATATTACTATTACTTCTTCAAGTTCTAACATGATTTGATGAACGCTGCTAATACACTGAAAATGTTTTGCTGGAGGGACTGAGTGAAGTTGGTAACTCTATTGGAGGGTCATATAAGCCGAACTCTGAATTGCTTATCGGCTCCGCATGAACTGCATACCGGCTCAGCGAGCCCCTCAGTTGAGCTACTCACGGGCAGTCTTACTTTCATCTACGTCTCAGTTTCAGGCTTGGCACAACCTTTATGGTTGAGCGAAGTTGAGACCAAACGACCAAACCATTAAGAAAGGTCAATATTTTCATCGACTTACCACTTCTGTAAGTACTTCTCTGCCTGGTGTGGCGAGCTGGACAAGAGATCCACCAAACTTTCTGCTATCATCACGTGAAATCAAGCCTTCTGATTACTGACCTGTTGAGGCTCAGGTCGAGAAACTTGAGGGCCTGCATGGGTTCGAAGGCACGGTCCTCGATGTGCGAGATGCTGTTGTTGGTGAGGTAGACCCTCTGGATGAGCAGCAAATCACTGAAGAGCGCGCGGTCCACGCGGGTCAGCCGATTGTGCCCCAACCACATTATCTGGACGGAGGACTGTCCCCTCAGCGAGTCATTGTGCAAGGACACGAGGCTGTTTGAGTCCAGCTGGATGGATACCAGGGTCGGCGACTCGTGGAGGAAGACATCTCCGAGCGAGGCCAGCAGGTTGCCCTGTCGCAAACAACGCTCACATGAACTTGGCTTAACGTAAATACGAGGCAATGTTCAGAACCCAGTTCGTTACACACACTCTGTAAGGAGCCCAAAACTTCCGATGATATCCAACAGAACACAACTTATATGAACAGCAACTCACTCCACTTTACCTACAGTCTTTTGTTAAGGTGCGTTCAGACTTAGCGGATACTTCTGTAAATGTGGACGGTATCGCATGTCCGAGCGGAAGCACAGCGCTCAACCGGAAGCCACGTGTGCTTGAGCGGTTCCGCAAGTCACCATGAGACTGCAGCACGAACAGCCTGGACTGGACGAAACTTCACAAGAGAATTTCTAGGTTTTCGCAAAAATGTCAAACCCTCGAAAGCATGGAGGTCACTATATAAACTACCATCAGCTTTAACATTACGTAACTCTGAATCTTACCCAAAAGGTGTACTTGTACGAGGTCTGCCACAAAAATAACGAGACTGATGCTGTAAGTAGGCAAACAATTATGGTGAGGGCGAAATAAGCAGACCATATTTGACCCTGATCTGTCCTCTACCAGTGACGCAAATTTCAACTTGTTTGCTTCACTCAGTAGCAGTGGACGAGTGTTTTTGTACAGACGTGTTTTTACCCTCGGCCGGAAAATGTCTGACTGCAAAAGTGAACGAGTTAACATGTTGAATTGAAGAAATCCGCGACGGAAACTTTTCAATTATTGACTGAGGCTTACGGTGAAGATTTCATGTCTCGTGCACACGTTTTTGAATGGCACAAACGATTTTCGGAAGGCAGAGAATGCGTGAAAGATGATGATCGCCCAGGACGTCCACGCACAGCTGTTCAAGGCAATGTTGATTGTTGTCATCGATATCAAGGGTATTGTGATGGCAGAGTGGGTACCCAGTGGCCAGACGGTAAATCAGCAGTATTACATTGAAGTCTTAACAAAATTGCGTGAACGTGTGAGAAAGAAACGACCGGAATTATGGAGAAACGGGTGGATTTTGCACCAGGACAACGCCTTGTCTGTGAAGCAGTTTTTAGCTAATAAAAACATCATTCTGCTTGACCACCCACCCTGTTCGCCATACCTCACTCCCTCCGACTTCTATGTATTCCCAGAGATGAAGTCGGTGCTCAAAAGAATCCATTTTTTGTCTGTAGAAGATGTGAAAGCAAAAACGGCAGAGATCCTCAACAGCCTTACAGAACATGACCTGCGGAATTGCTTTGAACGTTGGCAGCATCGTATGCATCAGTGTGTCAACTCAGAAGGGAACTATTTTGAAGGCGATAGTAGTTTATTTTCTGAATTTGTTAAATAAAAAGAGTTACAGGCACAGTCTCGTTTTCTTTGTGGCAGAACTTGTATGCAGTGCAATGTTCCAAAGGACAGTTTTTATGAAAATGGTACAGGAGATTTAAGTGAAAAGGTGAGGATATTCTAAAATCGACAACTGGGAATGAGATTACATACAAGTATTAAAGGTAGTGAGGTTGGAATAGTAAACTTTGCCATATAAAGTTATCTAGTTGTCAGGATTGCAATGTTTATACATCACACACTTCTTAAACACACTCAGGCCTCCCCTGCTGGAAAGGCACGGAATCGAACTGACCGTGTCCTGACTGATACTTGATGACCAAGCCTTTAGAGGAACTAACTCTGACACTAATCACTATTT